ACTATGAAACACAAAAGAACCAATATAAATTACCCCAACACCACATCCTAAGTGCTCACCCATTTTCTTTGCTTAATATCAAGTATCCAAATAAGGTTGAATTTAATACTCTATTTTTAAGAGGTTGGTGTCCTATAAAGACATGTCTACCATTTTATTATTTCATAAAATACAGTGACAAAATAATCAAGACAACAGAAAACCATAATTTATTATTTATCATTTTTTCTAGAACTCAAGATTGTTATATTACCCAACAGTAAATTAATGTCTCAAGTTAATTATGCCTAAAAATTAGTATGCAGTGAAAAAAATTCATTCAAGTGACATAGAACAAAATCAACAAATGCTTAAAACACATATCTATCTAGCTCACTTAAGCACTTGGATGCCCTCTGAAAATCACCAATGAATCTTCTTCTCCACTCTGCAAATTCATCCATAGTTTCTCTATTAGCAAGATTCAAATGGCTTCCTATAAATAAATCATTTGAAAACAATAATTACATACATATTTGCAGTCACATAAAATACATTTGATCCACTCCGAAAGTTGAAAAAATCACAACATACTCAAAGCAAACATGAAATAGCTAAATAAACACGCACCTACAACGCTACAACAACATCGAATTTCAATCACTTACAAGACACGGAATCTATTTGAAGGTGAAATTTGAGTCACTTAAGGGGTGATTAGATATGAATTCAACTAGTAAAAACTAATTTTTTTTTTAATTATAGTTAAATTTGAAAAAAAGTAGTATGGTTAGTTGTTAGTGGATATATTAAAATATTATTTAAATTAAAATAATTAAAGTTGATTTGATGTAAAAGTAGAAAAAAATGATTGAAAGTGATGGTTAGTTAAAATTATGTGAGTGGATGAATAGTGAATTAAAGTTGATGTGATGTGTAATAATGATTGGTTAATATTATTTAATTATATTGATAATATTGGAGATAGTGAAGTTGAGTTAAAATTGAGTTAAATTTGAATTTTGAGTTGAATATTTACTGTGCAAATTATATACAATCACACCCTTACAAATCATCATTTAAACAATAGAAAGAAATCAAAGCTCTAGCTGCTGATTGTATTGCTCTCGGAACACATCGCGGGTCCTTGCTTCTCTCTCTTTCGGTTTTGAATGCGGCCATCGACGGTGATGATGTTCGAAAGATCTGCGGCGGTCTTTGTCTTGCTTAGAGCGGTTATGGTGGTCTTTGGGTTTTTCTCTATAGTGATGTGAGTTGGGAATGAAGGCGATTATGTAGTAAGTAAGAAATTTGTGAACAAATAAATTCCACAAAATCGGATCATATATCTGCAGAAAAAAAAAAAAAAAATTAATTGCTAAACAATTGTTAAAAGCCGTACAAATTGACAATTTTGTAGCGCCCCGAAAAATCCATACATATCGTGAAAATTTGGTAACAACAATCCGATTAATTTACCAAAATCCTAGCAATATAGTTACCAAAATCCGATAACTTTGGTAAAATTCGATAACTTTGGTAAAGCAATTTCGATCAATATCTTTATTTTGTAGTAATTATGAAATTTGTGAATAAATAAAATCCCATAAAATCCGATAACATTGGTTAACAACATTCAAACTAATTTTGGTAGGAAAGATTTACGTGATTTATCCTTTTTTATTAATTTTTTGCTAACGTGTGGGGCCCATTAATATTATTTATATTAGTAAGTCAAAACATTTATTTTTAGGTCAAACCTACAATATTACTATAGATATAGATATTTAAATTTTAATGATTTTTATGAAAAAAAAAAATTAAAATTGTCCGATGGTTGTTTCATGTTTGAACGATGGTGTGGTGAAAAATAATTTAACAGCAATGGATCAGTGGAGGTCATCCACATAAAAGTGGCCCAAGCCCACCAACCCTCTCACCTGGCAGCCACATATAACTTACTGTGGTTTGACATATATGCCCTCCTCTTATATTTCAGATTATTTGTCCTTTGCGGAATCCAAAGGTCAATCTCCTTTTATTCAATCCCTGCCCATCTTTGCTGTTACTCTTCTTTATACTTTATTATATTTTTTAGTCTTTTTTTTTTGAACTTTCCCTCTTTTGTCTTGATTGATTTCGACTTGTGGANTGATATTGGATAATAAGATTGATGATGTAAAGAGAATTATTGTTAATGGTTTTCGAAAATTTATCGATTTGATTTTTTTTTTATCGGTACGATATTTTTCAAGGAACAATCGCACATGTAATTTTGGGATGATTATCTAAGTTTTAAATAACAAATATATTTCAAGTGTATACAATTTTTTGAATCAGCAAATAGCTATTCAAGCACTCTTGGATCATCCAGGTATATATTTTTATTTACAAAATAAATACTAATTCTTATAGAAATTTTATGAAACTCCGGAAACCATCCATGAATTGATATATCGATATTTATTCTAAGACTATTTTATTTAAGTATATGTATGTATCAATATATAATTTATGAATAATTATTAACATTTTATTATCCATTGTTCCATAGCAAAATAGTATATTTTCATAGCATTTTGTCATCAAACATTAACTTGAATATCTAATTATATTTACTTTTTTTAATTTGAATATAAATTAGGTCGATCAAATTAAATTTTTGATATGTATACTCTCCCAATGAATATAGTATGTCCAACTACACTGTATTTAGATGGAAGAGTTGGTCAATCAATATCAATATAGATATTTTTATCGTGAATAAATGAATGACTCAATAATAAGAAGAAATTTTGAAAAAAAAAAAATAATAATAAGAAGAATTGGTGTGGGAACCTATAGGATTAGACTAGCTAGATCCTTATCCAAATCCAATTCATAATTATCAATAACAAGCCCCAAGGGAAGTCAAATAATTTAAAATAAATTAAGTACACATATAAACCTCAATAAATCATTTTTCAAAGTACAACCATTTAAAGCGTGGGGAGTTCCACAAAGATGGTAAAAACAGTATCCACGGGCTTCAATAATAAACAATAAAAAGTAGTTGTACTCTATAGCAATTTCAAGCTCTCACTCTTCTCACAACGCCGTCATTTATAAGCCCCAAACACACACACACACACACAAACGCTCATTTTGTGCCGCATTCTCCATTTTTGTCAGTCTCTCTGCCGCCATCGACTCCCCGGCCGCCGAGAGAAAGAGGGTTCAGCAGGCGTGGAATGATACCTTGATTTTGATCTTAAAGCTAGGGTTTTTTCTTTGGGAGTGTCGTATTACTTGATCGTATTATTTCGATTTTTTTATAGGATATTTTTTGAGGGGTGATTTAATGGCGTCGGAGGATGTGAAGACGAGCGAATCTGCGGTGTCGAAGATTGTTAATTTCGCGGAGGAGGCGAAACTCGCAAAGGAAGATATAAAGCCCACTAAGAATCAAGTTTACAGCATCTGTAAATCTCTGGTCGCCGGGGGAGTCGCCGGAGGAGTGTAAGCTCGGGATTTGTTTACTTGTTTTCGTCGCGCGTACATGTAGATGATATGCGATGATCAAATGTCTGATTTCTCTGTTCATTTCCTGTTATTGGTGGAGTATGCTTGTTTGATTGAAGATGTTATATCTGTTAATTGCTTATTTATTTTTCTCCAACTGGTGTTGAAGGAGCGGGTCTTGATGAAATTTGGTACCTTGGGAGTTTGGAGGAAAGAGGATTGTTATTTGTTATGGGGACGAAAGATTGTGTATTTCAGATAGGCCGAATGAAAATGAGAAGTTTGGTTGATAGGACTGAGGATATCACATGCTGAAAGTGTCTCTTTTTGTTTGATTTGTTTTGTTCTACTCTTCTTCTTTCATTTTTATTTTTTCATTGCCAAATAACCAAATGCATCTTGAATTGAATGTACTGATAAAGGAACACTGGTAATATTTTTGTACTGAAGTGGAGCAGAAGGTTAAGAGGGAAATGGAGAAAGAATGAACACGACTATTTTTCAGAAACCAATTTATTGATGGAATACATTGTTAAACATAATGATACTTGTATGTTTTGCTATTAGTTTACAAATGCAGAATAAGTTCCAGTGTGATTGAGTTGCTGTCTTTTATTTCAGGTCAAGGACCGCTGTAGCTCCTCTGGAACGGCTTAAAATTTTGCTTCAGGTTAGTGTTGTTAGATCATGTTCGAATATGTTCATCTGAACCCTCATTAATGAATAAAGGGAAAGTTGTGAAACTAGCATATATGATGTCTGTGGTATTTCTCATGGTTTGTGCGTGGATTTGTGATTAAAAAGGTGCATATGGCTTTGCTTTCTGTAAAGTGAAGTTTAAGTTTGACTTAGTTTTCCTTAACCAAATTTTCCTGTTTCCTTAACTGAATAATGGTTGTATGCTAGTATTTTCCTAAAGTGATATCTCCTTTCTGTCGAAGTACTTATGAGTCACCTCTGCAAGTTTATAATCACCAAAGCTAGTACACTGTACTCCCACAAACTACTGCAGGAATTTACAAGATACATCTACAGTTGAGAATGTCATCAAATATTACTTGCTGGTCTTCTCGAAGAAATAGCATTAATATATTTTTCATTCTAAATGTATTCTCCAATTTGATTACTGAAATACACCGTGGCTTTCAAGATTCTCGAAAAGCAGATCCTTGCAAATGTAAAATTGATAGAAAATGACGCTGAAAATGAAGAAAGGCTACCATTTATGGGAGCTACTTGCGTTAGATGGTTTATACTAATCCATCCATCCCTCCCTGTCTCTCTCGCTCACTGTTGCTTGATTCTTGTTATCTGTTAGGTTCAAAATCCCCACAATATTAAATACAATGGTACTGTTCAAGGCTTGAAATACATATGGAGAACTGAAGGCTTTAGGGGATTGTTCAAAGGCAACGGCACCAACTGTGCTCGAATTGTCCCAAACTCAGCAGTTAAATTCTTCAGCTACGAGCAGGCATCCAAGTATGGTTCTACCAATCATAAAATTTATTTAGATAGTCTCATGTCTACTTATTCCAGCGTCTCAAAGATCTTGCGAGCTTGCTGTTATATGATTGTTAGAACATGTTATGATTGGTTGTACATGTTTGTTCATGTTGAAGCGCTATTGTGCTAGTGCCTACATGTTTTCATTTCGGTGATAGTCCCTAGGGTTTGCTTTGTTGTCTACTCTACAAAGTGTGGAGTACTGTTGCCAGAGGGAGGGTTACGCATCACATACTAAACACTGGCAAATATGTTGAGAGTTATGCTTGCAACGATTAACAGAAATAATATAATCATAATAAAACCAAAGTTTTACAATATTATCATTGTTGGAGATATACTGAAGAATGATATTTATTTTTCTTGTGATGAGTGTACTTTTTCCATCTGGTCACTAATTGACTATTTATTTATGTTGTGTCAGGGGTATATTATATATGTACCAACAACAAACTGGGAATGGTATGTCTTTTTTTCTTGTCNTTTTTTATACTTAAAATTTTTTTGTTTGAAAATTAATTTATTTTCTTAATACTCCGATTTCTTGGAGCTGAAAACAATTCATGTCTAACGGCAGTGAATACTCTTTGAAGAGAGACACGAGACTTATGTCATTGGTTGACTAATTTTATTCATCTGATTATGCAGAGGATGCTCAGCTGACTCCCGTGCTACGTTTAGCGGCAGGAGCTTGTGCTGGAATTATTGCTATGTCTGCTACATACCCAATGGACATGGTTCGTGGAAGACTTACTGTACAGGTATGTAGGCCGTCTTGAATGTGAACCATTGCAAGAAGTTGGTTAGACATTATGATGCAGTGCTTTAGCGTAAAATTTGTTTGGTCACTCTATGCTTTGCAGACAGATAAGTCTCCTTATCAGTACAGGGGAATGTTTCATGCTTTATCAACTGTGCTACGCGAGGAAGGCTTTCGTGCACTGTACAAGGGTTGGCTTCCTTCTGTCATTGGAGTGGTAAGTTTTAGAATACTTCATATGTTCAGATCTGATGGGTGGATAATATGATTTTTGGTTGTTCAGATGAAAAATGTGTTTAATCCTCCCTATTGGTTGTAAAAATAGGTCCACATATACTATTATATAAAAAACATTAAAGCAATTTACTTTTACTGAATCGACATTGCTTCTTGTGGTCAATAGAAGGTTTTTTTTAAGCGGGTTTCTTTTATTTTTCCTCTATCAAAGCTGTGAATGATAGAATTAATTATATGAGAACAAATGTGGTTTTAACCCTGTTTCAACTGAAGCAAATATTTGCAATCAACATTGGCTGAATCTACCTGAACGTTGGTGCTCATAAAGATTGCTGATCCCAGTCAATTGCTTAGACTTTTACCTTAACATGATCTAATATCCAAGGATAATCATCACGAGTATAAAATTTGGAACTATTTACATGCTTGCAATTTCTGGTCATCTATGTAGTATTCTGTCATCTTCTCCTTTTCTGCCCAGGTCCCATATGTGGGTCTCAACTTTGCTGTGTACGAATCACTTAAAGATTACTTGATCAAATCCAAACCCTTTGGGCTGGTGGAAGATAACGAACTTGGTGTCGTGACAAGGCTTGCATGTGGGGCTGCAGCTGGCACGGTTGGCCAAACTGTTGCATACCCTCTTGACGTCATTCGCAGAAGGATGCAAATGGTCGGGTGGAATAATGCTTCTTCAATCGTCACTGGTGGGACCAAGACTGCCCTCGAGTATAATGGCATGATTGATGCTTTCAGGAAAACCGTGAGGCACGAGGGAGTTAGGGCCTTGTACAAGGGTCTAGTCCCCAATTCAGTGAAGGTCAGTGCCCTTTGTTTTTTTTTTTTGTTTTCCGCCAANGTTTAAGTGCCTTAAACTATATTTGGGTTGCATATTGCTATACTGTTCTCCGAAACCTTAAAAAAAAAAGAAAAGAAAAAGCTAGGTATCAAATTTATAAACACTCCCTTTGGCTTTATGTTATATCTTAACTAATACAGCTCTCCTAACATCCTTCCAACCACAAATTAAGGGGGAAAAAAAGGAAAATAATTGGAGGTGTCATTTCAAGGCCTAATTTTTCTAAGGGGACATTTGATGTCTTTCACGTTTTCTTTTTCGTTCCACTTCGCTTGACAAAACCTTCGGGGATGGTTTTGGAAATTCATCCTAAAAATTATATTGCATGAGGTTGCTGCTACATTATGTTTTTACAGCACTCGAAAGTTGGTAATTTCCCTTCTGATTAGACACTCTGGATTTTGGGGTGATGAATGTCAGCATAGTACAAAAAACTCACTAATTCAATTTTACATTGTACTCACGAGAATTGCTCTCTTTAGGTTGTGCCATCAATAGCAATTGCTTTTGTGACGTACGAACAAGTGAAGGAGTTGCTCGGGGTTGAGATTAGGATATCTGACTGATGCAATGTGCAAACAAAGAGAGCCTTTCCATTCGCTGGTTCTGCATAAAATTTTTTGGGGGTCGAAAGGAAAAGCCTAAAATTAGTGAAGGCCCTCTTCTAGAGATAGAGAGAGGAGAGAGAAAGGGAGACATTGAGAAACATTTTAACATGTGTTCATATATGTTGATTACTTGTTTCTGTGGTATTTTTGGAGTCTTTTTCTGGGCAACCAATAAGGTATTAGCAAAAAAACGAATGCAATAATGATGGGCCTTTCTTTTTCTTTCGGTTCGCTTTGCTAATTAACTCGTTTTTTAATGGCTTTGTGATGTTCAGAAGTATGAAACCCCTGCCCATTTTGGATGGATTTCTATCAGTTTTGTTTTGCTTCGTCTATTTCAGGTTACATTTTGTTGTGATGAGATTATGACTGGACTTTGTAGTGTCATGGTCCAAAAAATGAATAATAAATTGGTGGATTTAATTCAGAAAAACACATCAAATCAACCCCTCTTTACATACTCCACAACTCCCCAACATATTTTCCCATGCAATGTGCAAAACAATTTCAAACACCATGAAGCAAATTCAAGAATCATCACAAGTCAGAAAAAAAGCTACTGTCCAAGAAGATATGAAGATATGGGATTGTGGCAGCCCATTATATGATTCATATGAATTAGTTGCTGTTAGCAACATCATTGAGAGACATTTCATAATATTGCCCAACTACCTCCGTCAATCGAGAAAGGTGGCAGCTTTTGCCCCGGCGGCGCTGACCTCATTGCCGGTAACAAATCCGACGGCCGACCTACCGGCAATTGTCTCCGGCGGCAAAGAAGTGAAAGAGAGAGGGAGGCAGAAAAAAATTGGGATTGGCAAATTTTTCAGCTATGTGAAAAGCACATGGAAGAAATAAAAAAATTATGGAATATTTGTTTATTTAATTTATTTAATTTTTATATAGATTCTGTTCTAATTGTTCTAGCTTTTGTCCAAGGATTATGTTTTTAAATTATTCATTCATCAATTGCCAGGAGTGAATCTGATGAATTTTATCTTTATCGTGGATTAAAAAAAGAAAGGAAAAGGTAATGTTTTGTATATGTGTCGATACGTTATAAACCAAACGAGCCGCATCGAGCACTTGTAAGCTCAGGTAGACTGGTTAGGACTCAGAACGCAACTGGTTAAAGTTAGAGCTAGTTTAGTTACACGCGAGCTCAGTTCGTTAAAACTCGAAAATAGGGATTCTAACGTAATTTTATAAACTTTTTACCTTAGCTCGACTCAAGGTCCGATTTGACTTGTTAATATTGATAAATGAATCGAGACCTATCCCCACTCATTTAAACATGTATGTCATTGGTATCTTCATTTTGATTTAAAAAATAAAAAATAAAAAATACCACAACATCTTGAAATTATTGATTTGTGTCAGAATGAGTCAAAGTGTTTTTGGTTTTGCACAGAAATTTGAAGACATCATACCTTAGTGTTCAGGCCCCGTTGCCAGTAAGCTCATGGTATCTATAATTACATCGATTTATTATCATGTTTTTCTAATATAATCCAAGTTTAGTATATGTTTAATTATTGCATAACTCACATGGGTGAATTGTAACTGCATATAAATTTTATGGATCATTATGACCCATAAAAAATATGTGGAGACTCATTTGTATAATGAATCGTCATGAGACTATATGCTCAAGTCATATGACCTACTCACATTAACATTATAGATATGGATAATATACCACAATAAGGCTATTTATTATTTCTAAATAATTTGGTCTCATAATTATACATTAGTCTATTACACATGAATCAAATATTTAATTTAATTTAAAAGAATACTCATATATAACATTTTAGTTGTCGAACCATATTTTAAAAAGTTGCTAGCATAAAAGATCTATGAACAAGCTGAGTTGAGCTTAGCTAAGCTCGTTAAATAATTAATTGAGCCGATAATTAAGTTCGAGCTCATCTCATTTAAACAAGTATGACCATATTATTGTCGAGGGCATCGTCTTCCTCCGGCAAATTGACAGACATTGGATTGAAAATCGGGGACAAGGCCGTGCGGCCCGTCAAGAGGGCCCAACGCTCCGCTGGGGAAGGCTCACTAGTGAGAATAAGGGCTACCGAGCAGGAAAGGGGCGAAAACGAAGAGAGATAATTAAAGAGGACCTCTGTAGACTTTCTTGGGGCGAAAACGAAGAGAGATAATTAAAGAGGACCTCTGTAGACTTTCTTGTGGCACTTACAATTATGTAAATCGATATATTTTATAAATCATCAATAAATTATCATAATTGTTTAAGCAACGTATTTTTCTTTTATAAAATATTTATAAATTAATATATTAAATATATAGGAATCTAAAAGAGGATTTTTTTTATTATTTTTTATTTTAATTATTTTCATAATGAAATTATTGTAAATGACATTTCCTTTGCATAGTATAGTAAATGAACTATAAAACTATAACATGAAAATTAGACAAATGTCATGATTGTAGAAGGGATTTGTTTCTTGGTAATTGAGCAACAAAAAATATTTAAATATTATGGAAAATTGAAGTTCCAATGCATAATAGTCGGAAAATTTTAGGCTTGATTGATTGAATTATTTGGTTAATTAATTTAATAAACCACAAGGGGATATCTTTCTCAATGCAACCAAATTTTTTTATTTTTTTATAAACCATTTTTTATTGATGACATGTTATATATATATATATAGGGTCACGCTCACATGAGAATGGTGCTTAATGCGAGAAATAAGAATAAATCTTAGTCATCGGATCGGACGATCCAACGGCTATAAAAATATCTTATATTTTAAACACATTAAGGATAATGTGGTAATTTTTCTACTAAATTAACCCATTGGCCCCACTTTATTTCATCCACAACACACACACAGATCTATTTTTCACGCACAACACACACACTACACACACAAACACACACAGTGGCCTTCCCGCTGGACCATCTCCAGCTCCGCCACCAGCGTCGCCGTAAGAATCTCTCTCCCGCCGGCTTCTGATTTCTGCGGCGCCGCCGTTCAGAAAAGGTTCCCGTCACGGAGGCCGACATCTCTATTCGTCGTCCATGTCCGCCGATCTAGCCACGCCGTCATTATGTCCGCCGCTTTAGTATCAATATGGAGCGGCGCTCGCGGCCGACCGGAGTCCAAAGCTTGCCGGCGAGCCCAACTAGAACAGACGCACGGCGATGGTCGCGATTGACCGGATTCCAGAGCCCCTAACGGCGGCGGCGGAGAGCCACTCACAGCATCGTCTCACCCGCGGTCGACCGGATGGAACACCTCGTCATCGATCCCGACATGGGCGGTGTTATAATTGTGAGTGTATTAAATGGAAGGTAGTTGGAATATTTGTTGAGTGAGTGTATTAAATGTTGAAAGAGGTTGGAATATTTGTTGGGTGTAGATGGCCAATCAATTAATTTATGAGGTGATTGGGTGTTGACTTATTTTGTGAGTTTATTTTCTCATCTATAAAGACCAATCAATCTCATTTGATAGAAGGTACACAAAAGAGAAGAAAGCACGGTAGAAGAGAGAAAAAGAGAAGGAAAGAAAAAGAGGAAAGAAGAAAGAGAAAAAGAGAGAGAAAAAA